TGCACACGCTCCCTTAAGCGTTGAATCAGGCTGACGTCAGAAATGTAAGGATCGGCAAATTTTCAAATGCGCGCGGTAACCGCGGCAATACTTTTTACTGAAGAGGACGTTAATTTGAAATGAGCTTATCAAAGAAGCGGAAAGTGGACGCTGAAGGCTGAATATTCAACAAAGAATGGACTTCTAAATATTGTTTTACCAATGTGGGTGGAAAAGCTGTGTGCTTAATTTGCAAAGAGAGTGTGGCAGTGCTCAAAGACTACAACTTGAATCGCCATTTTGAGAGCAAACATGCTTGCAAATATAAGAATGTTTCTGCCGAAGAAAAAGGAAAGAAAGCTGATGAGATGTTTGTTCGAATGCAAAAAGAGCAAAGCATTTTCACGAAACAATTTGCATTGCATGATGAGTTTACAAGAGTGAGTTACATGATTGCACACAAAATCACCAAGAACAGCAAACCATTCTCTGAAGGAGAATTTATAAAGGAATGTATGGTTGACTCTGCCTCGATTTTACGCCGAGACAAGAAAAAACAGTTTGAGAACATTAGCTTGTCAAGACGAACTATTGTGAGATGGGTCAAGGATATCTCTGAGAGTTACAAAATAAAATAAGCAATTTTGCATGTTTTTCACTGGTACTCGATGAGAGTTGTGATGTCAAAGACACAGTCCAGTTGATAATTTTTATTTGAGATATCACCAAACATTTTGAGCTTACAGAAGAATTAGCATCAATGCAGTCAATGAAAGATACGACAACTAGAGAAGACTTTTTGGAGACAGTATCTTAAAAGTGTATCTTAAAATTAGGAGTTGTGTAAAAAAAATTGGTGAATGTGACCACCGATGGAAGCCCAAATCTGACAGGCAAAAATGTTGGGTTACTGAAAAGAATTCAAGATCAAGTCAAGGAAACAAATCCAGAACAGAATATTGTTTTTCTACACTGCGTTATCCACCAAGAGGTCCTCTGTAAGAGTGTTCTAAAACTAAGCAATGTCATGGACACAGTTACGAAAGTGGTCAACCACGTTCGAGCAAGAGGATTAAACCACAGCAATTTGTAACTCTGCTCAAGGAATTGGAATCCGAGCACACGGATGTTCTGTATCGCACAAATGTAAGATGGCTTAGTTTTGGAAAGGTCTTGAAAAGAGTGTGGGAACTGAGAACAGAGATTGATTGATTTTTGGGCATGAAACAAAAAGATTTGGATTTCCCACAGCTGAATGATGTGAATTGGCTCTCTGATTTCGCATTTGAAGTTGATATCATAGGCCACATGAATGAACTGAATTCAAAACTGCAACAGAAGGGAGCCTTTGTGCACGATTTGTATTGCAGTGTCAAGTCATTTATGACAAAATTATTTATTTTATCGTGTCAGATAGTAAACAGGCAGTTCGCCCACATTCCAACATTGCAGCAGATTACTGTGTGCGATCAAAGCCTTAAAAAGTATAGTTTGTCTCTACTTGACTTATATGCTGAATTTTCTCGCCGATTCCAGGATTTCAATTTGATCGAAAATGACCTGTCTTTGGTTTCTTCACCTTTCTCATTTGATGTTGACAGAGCCCCATTTGACCTCCAACTCGAGCTTATTGACCTGCAGTGTGATCCATTGCTTGCGGAGCAATTCAAATCAGTGCCGCTTCCCAGTTTTTACACCTCTCTTAATGAATATACCTTTCCAAAAATAAAGGCTCATGCCTGGAGGATACTTGTGCTGTTTGGATCAACATACATATGCGACGAGACATTTTCTGTGATGAAATTCAATAAATTAAAACATAGATCTGTGATGACTGATGACCACCTTGCAGCAGTACTCCACATTGCAACAACGGAGACAATGCCTGACTTCAACATGTCTGGTTAACGCACATCAGCGCTTTCATTCTTCCCATTAACTGAGCTTCTCACATTCTCATCAATATGTGAATAAATGAATAAATATTGAATAAATGTCTGCTCAATTAGTTGTTTTTACTTAACCTAATTTTAATGAATGTCAATTATATAGACTTTATTTTATGCACGTACATTTTATTTTATGTACGTAAGACTTGATTTTGAACTATTATTAAGCATTTGCATCCATATTAAGTGTGTTGCCCTTGAAGCTTACCAAAACTCGTGAAGTGGCCCGCCAACCAAAATAATTGCCCACCCCTGCTCTAGAGGTTGAATTGATCCCTATTCTTTGACTTTAACTCCTTTACTCTATAACTAGCTTCTCTCTCTATAAAACTAAGAACTCCATTTGCTTTGTTATAGTCTTGTCTACTTGCATTCACACATTTAAAGGACCTTGATATTTCCAATCTATTAGGAATATTACCATTTTGGGTACATGTCCCTTCCGGCCAGGAAGGATATGTACCCTAAATGGTAATGTTCTTAACAGATGGTAATATTTTATCAGTTTATCCTTCTTTGTCCTTTTTTGAACAGGGTTGCTTTGTTAACCGCTCAAGGTCCTCTGGCACAATATTCCTTTCTAAAGTTGGAAAATTATGGTCAGAACCTCCACTATCTGGAGGATAGAGATACAATATTTAAAATTCTGAAGGAATTCATTAAGGTGGATGTTTAAGCTGTTTCCTCTTGTTGGTGAGTCCAAAGTGAGGGAGCATAAATGTAGGCTAGCAAATAGCAGATCTAAAGGGGAGTTTAGGAGGAATCTCTTGACACAGAGTGTGGTGAGAATGTGAAACTCACTGTCAAAAGCTATGATTGAAGCAAAATGTATTAACACATTAAAGAGAAAAGTTGATGCAGATAATGAGGGAGGGGGAAAGGGTGGGTGGAGGCTCATGTGAGGTCTAAACACTATCACAAACTAGTTGAACTGTTGTCGTGTTATAATCTCATCTAATTCTACATGTCTTCCCTGCCCTCCCTCCTCCATCTTCTACAATGTTTACCATCTGGAAAGGGTGACTTTTCACTTTTGAGTTCCACTGACATTTTCAATTCCATTTCCACTTTGATAACCTATAGTTGCAAATTTTGTGAAAATAAAGGCACAATAATTAATAAGCAACTGAGCATTACTTCATTCTTAATAATACATTTGTTACATTCCTTCCCAACTTTCAAAGATGCTTGTACAGGCCTTTACAGTTACATTTTATGATAATTGCCAGTCATTATCATACTCCCTGTTACCTAATCTCCCTTTTTGGAGATGAAGGATGCTGTAGTATAACAACAACATCTTGTGTTTATATAATACCCTTCACGTGGGGCAGCATCTCGGAGCGAGTAGTACTACTGTTTATTTTGCAGTTAGTTGCAGCAGTACTTGCACCAAAATATCTGTTTATATATAATAAAATGCTATTTTAGTTAAGAAAGAAATGTCTGACACCTGTGGAAGCTTATCACCATTGAGTCCTGCAATTCAGTGGTTAGAGCATTCGCTTTGCAAGTGAAAGACCTGGGTTCGATTCCCGGCAGGGCAAAATGTTGGGCAAATTTCTTTACTCCACACACCTCTGTTTAACTAGCAGTAGATAGGAACCCGGTTGTTAGTCGATTGGCAGATTGCTTTTCCGGGGGTAAGAATTACTTTAAAAAAATTGGTCACTCAATCCATAGCTGTTTGTGGGACACTGCTGTGTGCAATTGGCTGCTGTGTTTTGCCCACAAAATATACAGTCAATTCACTTTACAGTACATTGTGTGAAGCGCTTTGAGACTTCTCAAAGACATGATAAGGCACTATATCAAATGCAAGGATTATTATTATTATTATTACTATGCTTAAGAGTATCCAAAGAGTATCCAAACCCACCTAAACATGGAAATTCCAGTGTCTGCAATAGAATACTCCATTCCAGACACAGTTTAAAACAGGTGGTTGCTCAGCCAGCAGTTTCTTTGATTGTTAAAGCAACAATCTGGACGTTTCCAACAGTAAAGTTCTTTTATTTGTTTACTGATGGATTTCCATTGATAAAGGAAACTCATGTTTTCAGCCATGTGTCAGTATATTTAAACCTGGCATTTGGGTTAAGCTCTGGTACCACTGGGAAAAGAGCCAAGTGTGTAACTCTGGCTGATATACAAATACCAGAAGTATCTGTTTGCTATTTAAAAATAACAAGTGACAATTGGAATAAATATATGACGACACAATTATGTTCTGTACTGACTCCACGGTTGATGAATGAAGTGCCCTGGCTGTGTAGACTAGTTATTGAATCTATAAATCTCTAAGGCTTTTTCGCCCACAAAATATACAGTCAATTCACTTTACAGTATATTCTGTGAAGCGCTTTCTCGAAGACGTGATAAGGCACTATATCAAATGCAAGGATTATTATTGTTATAAGTAATGCAATGTATTTTATTTGGAGTCTAGCCCCTCGTCCCAAGGAAAGCAGTTGCTTTTTAAGTATTTTGAGCGGCAATTTGCAGATGTGCTTCTTCGCGGTCAAGAATTATACAGGAATAATGGACACTTGGCAAGGGGGAGGCAAGCACCCAAGATTTGTGGAACCTTTCCCCAGGAGAAGAAAGTGGAGTCAATTATCTTTTGGAGAGGAGAGAAAATTATCATGAGAAAGGCACTGACTTCTGGGAAAGATGACTTTGGAATGCAAAATACAGGATGAGGAAGTTGTGAGTGTGAGCTGCAAAAGGGAAATTAAACTGGGGCATTGCAGACCAGAAAGGGCAGATTCACAGAGAGAGGGGTGTTCATTGTAGAATTCTTTGTCACTTCTACCTCCCCCCCATTATCGCTGTCACTCACTTTGGCCATTCTCTGACAACAAGCCACATGACAAAATTCTTAGAAACAGTAAAAATAATATAGAGGCATATCTGTAGCGTTGAACTCAACATCTGAAGAACAACTGGGGCAAATTCAGAGCCTGTGCAGCAGAGAGCGTTGCAGTAATGGCATGCATGCTGGACTTTGTAAGTCATCTTAAATCATCTAACCACATCTATCACAGCTTCGTTCTTTCTCTTTGTTCTCAGGCAAGCAGCAACTGTTATCTTGGGGACCGAACTGGCTAAGCAGATTCACAAAGAGATTGAGAGAGATGTGAAACAGTGGGTGGCAGGTGGCAACCAGCGACCTCAGCTTAGTGTCGTCTTGGTGGGAAATGATCCTGCCAGTCACTCGTATGTCAAGAACAAGATCAAAGCAGCTGCGGCAGTAGGTAAAGAGAGGCACCGCATGACCTAAGAGATCTATATCAGTAACCTTCATCGCTGCTGTTAAATGTCACATCTAGAATGTAGGGTGCAGCCCACTACTCTTGAAGTACATTAGAAGCAGCTTAAGCCAGGCACACCGGGGCTGGGCGTTTTGTCCGGCTTAAGCGGCATCCGAAGCTAACTGAATTTCTCTTACCTCACCAGCAGAGGAGCAGCAGCGGCACGGCCCTGCTTCCTTTGCCATTCCCATTGGATAGGAAGGGGACCAATTAGCGGCAGCTCCGAGGTGATTGACAGCCTGCAGCGGCTTGCGAATGTTTGGGCTCCACCCATTCAACCATTCACAATCAATTGTGATTTGACTCCTCCTATTCCCTCCCTTGTTTCTTCCCCATTCCTCTGCCCTCCTCAATGATTGACAGCCCGAATCCGCTTGTGAATTGCTGGAGTCCGCTATCAATCAATGAATCAATGAATCAATGAATCAATCAATCAATCATAATTTGACTCCTCCCATCTCCAACCCTGAGCCGCTCGGGGCTGAGTGGATCCGCTCGAGACACAGAAGGGCCAAGTGAGTGCATTCAGCGACTTGCGTGGCATCTTGTCTGGATTAAGTGGATTTTTGTCTGAATTACTCGACATATATAAAACAGGTAAGAATACAAATGAATTGGTACCGGGTGTTTTGTTCGATTTACCCAGCATCCAGAGTTAACCGGCGTCCGGCTAAAGCGGATTCCTCTGTATCTCTCTTTTTATAAATTTTCATTGCTAACCTTCTTTCACCTCCATTGGTGGGCAGGCCTTCAGCCACTCTGCCCCCACCCTCAGGAATTCCATCCCACAGTCCCTCCACCTTGCCCCCTCCATTGCCCACTTCAAGACCCGCCTCAAGACCCTCCTCTTTGACTGTGCCTTTGATCACCCTCCTTCCCTCCACCCTCCCTGATCCCGACCTCGCTCGGGTCCGAAACACTGATAGTCCAACGCCTTGGGATGTCCTCCCGACATGAAAGACGCTATACAAATGTAATTTTGTTGTTGTTTCAGCCTCAGATTGGGACTTTGAACTCACAGTCAAGGTATTCTGGGAGTCCTACATTGTCAAGGGTGTCATCCTTTCAATGATAAGTTAGATGTTAAACCAACATCCTTTCTGTCTGTTCAAGTAGATATGGAAGATCCCGGTGTCCTGGTCAACAATGATATAGATATAATTGGTCATTTACTTCATAACTGTATTTGCGCAAAATTGGCTGCTGCATTTGCCTAAAAAATACACTGTGACTGCACTTTACAGTGAATAATAATAAGCCTTACATTTGGAATAGACTCATCTTGGGATTTCAAATTCGCAGTCTAGGTTGACTCTCCAATGCGGTGTTCGGATATGTCCATTGTTTGAGTTGCTATCCTTCAGATGGGACGTTAAACCTGTTCAGGTGGATATAAAAGATCCTGTAACACTATTCAAATTCACTTCATGGCTGTTTTGGGGTCATTCCTGTGTGCAAATTGTCTGTACAATGTGCTTCATAGTACAATTCTGTGATGCACTATGAGTCACCTTGATGATGTGATATGGCGCTAAGTCAAATGCAAGGATTATAATTATTATGATAAATTGATGTGACATGAGATTGGGTAGTCTGAATCGAGTTCCTGTTGGGTATGGGGCTCATGGCACTAATCTACTGTAGATTTGATATAGGTTATTAATGGACTGCATTCAAAGAAGCCACAAAGATAAGTGGGCAAGTAGAAATATTGTCACTGTTCCAATAGAGGATGGTATTTGAGATTGTGGTTAAAGCATCTGATATTTTTTATGTGATCAGCATAAAATAATCTCCATTACTCAGTGAACTGCATATCAGTATGTCCTTTCTTGTTCTTTTGCCTTCAGGCATTACCAGTGAGACAATTTTACGACCAGATAGTGTACCTCAAGAAGAACTCGTGCAGCTGATTGAGAAACTAAACAGGGACCCGAAGGTCACTGGGCTCCTGGTCCAGCTACCTCTGCCAGGTAAGCTACAGAACCATGAGAGTTACACTGTTACAATGAGAATGATTCAAGGAAAGGGATGTTTGTGGCCATTTTTGCCAGTTTGCTCCAGTACATGTCTGTAATATAGTATTTTACTAAAATAATTTTACTATGCCTTTCAGTTAGTCATTTCTATTTCATATCAGACAGGGTGCAGACAATACAAGTGCTGTCAAATCAGTTGAGTTCCGACACACATAATCAAGCTATACAATATTCTGGTCAGGCTCTCCACATTGAATGCTCTGTACAGTTCTGATCACCACAACCCAGGCCTTAGAGACAGTGAAGATAAGAGAAACACAGATGATCCGAGGAATTATCTAAATTCAACAATTAGACTCTTTTTCCTTGAAAGGAGTTTTCAAAGGGGATGTTCAAGAGTTATACAAGATTTTAAATGAGCCTGTCTGTGTGCACATATGAGAGGAGGTGGCCTGTCTGCATGTTCCAGTGAAGTAGAGTCCTGTAGCTCAGTGGTTAGAGCACTCGCTTTGCAAGCGAGGCACCTGGGTTCAATTTCAAACAGGGGAAACCTTGGTCAAGTTTCCTTACTCCACACACCTAATAATAATCCCTCCAAAACAAAACAATAATAAATTGGTCATTTTCAATCCACAACTGTTTGTGGAACACAGCTGTGCGCAATTGGCTGTCGTGTTTCACCCACAAATATACGGTCAATTCACTTTACAGCATATTCTGTGAAGCACTTTGAGATGTCTAGAAAATGTAAAATGCGCAATATAAAATACAAGGATTATTATTATTATAACAGTGGGAGCACAGTTGGGTCTCTAAAACATCTTCAGTAAAGAAATATCCCCATGATGCCTGTTTAATTCAATTGTGGAATTGTTTTATCGAGTTGGTTCAGAGTGACTTCTGGGAAGCTGAGGCAATCACAAAAGCAACTAAAAATAAGTCAGTTCTGTTAGAGCAAAAAAGGAGGTGTAACTTTACTGATTATAATAGTGGTTTCCATGATGTGTGTTTAGCTATAGATTTTATCACAGAAGCCTTTTGTTAAGATGACCTGTAGTGTGAAGCCCATATCTTCTCATCCAACATTGCCTAACAATCTGTATGAACTTTGAGATTGAGCTTCTTGGAGCACTTAATAATGGTGGAGCCTGACGCCGAGCCAGGAACAGAGCGGAGGTGACCGTAGGCACGGTCGAAGAGGAAATTCTTCAGGTGTGATCTGAAGACAGACAAAGAGGGGGCAACGTGGAGGTATTGAGGTCAGGTCAGACTGACACTGACACATCTGGGCTCGATAAAACCAAATCGATAAAACAATTCCAAGACTGAATTAAACTGTGAAAACATGGGGATATTTGTTTACTGAAGGAGTTGGGGCGGGCCTGCCCTTGGGATGAGATGTTAAATTAAGCTCCCCTCTGCTTGTTTTGATGGATGCTAAAATTCCATAACCTTATTCAAAAAGAAAAGGGATTTTCTCCTGGTGTCCTGATCACCAATCTTCCAGATAAAATTGGTCATTCACTTCACTGTTTTGTAACATTTTGAGGATGTGATGAGGTGCTAAAGTTAGTTGAAGAAGTGCAGGAGGAGGCTCATGTGGAGCATAAACACTGGTATAGATCAGTTGGACTGAATGGCCTGTTTGTGTGCTGTATAATTTGCGTAATTCTATGTAAATTGTTACTTTTCACTGCAAAAGCTATTGAGGAGATTGCAGCTTATTCGGAGGAAAAAACAAATGAATGACGTGAGCAATGATGTAAAAAAATTCCAAGGAATGCCGCACTTACACAGAAAGAAATAGTCCTGAATTGATTCCTGATTAATGCTTCTCATGTCAAGTTGGAGAGGAGCACACAGTGCAGCACTTCAGCTGAACACTGCCATATTTCTACAACTAGCCCGACATCTTTTCTTTATATCCCAAACAATTGGATGTGATAATATATTCCTCATCATAACAATAATAATAGCAATCCTTCATTTGATATAGCGCATTACCATGTCATCAATACGTCTCAAGTGCTTCACAGGATTTAAGAGGTGAGACTATGTTATTTTGTGGGTGAAAATATCTAGGAACTCAACTTATCGGAATTTCATCCACCACCCCCCTCCCCACTGTGTTCATGTGCACCTACTAGCAGGGAGCCGCTGGATACTGATAGGAGCAATAACTATCTCATTATTGCCTTCTTTAACACGGGGGCAATAAGGCCATATGTAGCACATCAGCTGTAACTGTTGCCCTTGCTGAGACTGAGATTAGAATGTGCGACTTGGATGTCCTATTTGTGTACTGGGCCATCAGAGGAGCCAATGTTTTTCTTGAAACTCTTCTGGAAGAGTTGAGGCTTCAGGTAGCAGTACAGCTCAGAGTGATGTGCTGGGGTGAATTCTTAGGTGCAGGTTATGTCAACCCACACCACTAGATGGCATCAGAACCACATTACAATATAATTTTGTTGCATTGAAATCCGGGAACCCAGTGGAGTCGGATGAAGATGGAGGTAATGGGTTCACAATGTTCTCCACTCAGCGTCTTTCCCTAGATAGACCTTTTCATTCACGCTTGATGTTCCATGGTAAGCAGTGCCTGTGGCCTCAATGTAGATTATTACTGAAGACTTATCATCTTCAAAGCTCTTCCCTCTTTGTCTTGCAGATCACATTGATGAACGCTTGGTTTGCAACACAGTTGCCCCAGAAAAGGATGTGGATGGGTTTCACGTGATCAATGTCGGGAGATTGTGCTTAGATCAGGATGCTATGGTTCCAGCTACTCCAGCTGGTATCTGGGAAATTATCAAAAGAACAGGTGAGTAATTGAATGGAAACACAAAGATGCTGTTCTGAATATTGCCGCTGTGCCTACTAAACACCATCTGTTGAGGATCAATGCTATTGTACTGGCGGGAGAGAAGCTGTGCAGTGGGAAGATGGTTTGATACTCCCTGAGCCACATTGCTTTTCTACCTACCTTTGTGACTTCCTCAAACCCTACTAACCTGGTTTCTTCAACTTGGAATTCCTCCGACTCGCTCTCCTGCTCATTTTGTTCAAGGTCCGTCTCAAGATCTACCTCTTTGTCCCTGCTTTCGATCAACTTTCCCCTCCCCAATTCCCTCGGTTCCCACCCCAAGCTTTGGTGCCAAGTGCCTTGGGACTCCTCCTGACATGAACAGTATATAAATGTAAATTTGCTTTCAATTTGACTGGGAACAAAAACAAACGGCCAGTATCGGCATCCTAAGCAAAATTTTATTTAATATTTCTAAAGAGCTGACCCTGCTCCATTCAAAGTTCCCAGGTTGTCCAATTGCCCACACCGGAGAATTTGAGAAGGAGATCCAGAGAGCGAGTTCAGTGCTTAATGTGCAGTGCAGGTGTGAATCATATTGCTCCTGATTCTCCAAGTGGAGTCGGGCACTGGGTTCAAGCAGGACTCCTGCTGCCGGAGACTCAATTTACACTGCAAGTTTGGTGGTGATTCACCTGGAGAATCGCAGGGATTCAATACGAGATTTATTAGCATACTAATAAATGTATAGTATTATACAAACACAGCAGATCACTCAAACCAGCCATTATGGTTCAGGTGGATGTTAAAGATTCCATGTCACTATTTGAAAAGAGAGTGGCCAACAATCCCCCAAAATTAAATTGGTCACCCACTCCATGGCTGTTTGTGGGATAATGCTGTGCACAATTGGCTGCCCCATTTCGCCCACAAAATATGCAGTCAAAATATACTCCACCAATACAGGTGGAGTCTGCATCCCTGTATACTGTAAAGTGAATTCACTGTATATTTTGTGGGCGAAATACAGCAGCCGATTGCGCACAGCAGTGTCCCACAAACAGTTGTGGATTGAAGTGACCAATTGAATTTTTTTTCAAAAAGGAATTACCCCAGAAAAATGATCCGCTAATTGACTAACAACCGGGTTCCTACTTACTATTAGGTAAAGAGAGGCTAGTGGAGTAAGGAAACTTTCCCAAACATTTCGCCCTGTCTGGAATTGAACCCAGGTCTCTCGTTTGCGAGGCAAGTGCCGAGCTACAGGACTCCACTAGACTCAACAAATAAAATAGCTCAGTAGTTAGAGCACTCATCTTGCAAGCGAGAGACCTGGGTTTGATTCCTGGCAGGGCAAAACCTTGGGCAAGTTTCCTTACTCCACACACCTGATAATAATCCCTCAAGAAAAAACAAAACAATAATAAATTGGTCATTTCAATCCATGACTGTTTGTGGGACACTGCTGGGCGCAATTGGCTGCCACATTTCATCCACAAAATATACAATCAATTCACTTTACAGTATATTCTGTGAAGCGCTTTGAAACATCTAGAAGACATGAAAAGCGCTATATCAAATGCAAGGATTATTATTATTATTATTATAAATAAGGAATGACTGTGATGGGAATGTGCTAAAAAATAGATTTCAAACCACAGGGACCTGTTCCAGTTTGAGTGAATTCCCTGTGTATACAGATTGGAACCAACTGGCCTCATTGATTCTATGATTATGTGCTGCTTAATAAAAAGGTGTAATCATGGGCAGTGGGCAAATTGCATGTCACTGTTTTGTACATCCCACTGTATGTTTCTCTGCTGTCGGAACAGGAGGAATACTGTTGCTACTAACTGGTGCTATACCACCCAAAAGGACATTGGGAAAAATACTTGGAATTCTCGTGGGAACCCTTTTTTCAATAGACGTGTGGGTTTGTGTGCATGAGAGTGTAGGTGTGCATGCACAACCTTTTGTGAGAACAGAACATCTAGTGTGTTTATCAAGCACTGCTAGGTTAGTATAACCTAGGTATGAGCATGGCCAACATGCCTTAACCCCAGCTTCAGAAGGGTATCCGATTGCACTTTGTTCCCGGCATTTACCACCCCGGCAATCCGTATCAGCCTTCATGAGCAAATCTGCTGGAAATGTGTGAACTTGTGCCAAATTGTGATGAAGTTTAGTGATGTGGGACCCACACCCTCTGTGGGCTGGTTTGAGATTGCCCAAACTTATTTCATATACATTTTTAAGTGGTTTTAGTCACCACCTGGCTGAGTGCTGAAGCCAGAAAATGTTCAGCTCTGTGAATAATCGTGCGTTGCCTCTGACTGCCGTCAGGCTCCCAAGAATGAAGGCAGGAGCCTGTGATCCATTGACCTCTAAAATAATCAACTAATTACAAATCAAAATGCAACAATAAAGCTCCTTTCACATCGGGAAGATGTGCAAAGGCCCTGGACAGTCAGGGGTTTGTACCCCAGATGGGGGTAGGATTCCAGAGGGGAATACCCGGGAAAAGTTGATTTTCAACTTGATTTTTCAACTCCTGATTGGCTCACACCAGCGCCTCTGCACCTCAGGCTCTGGCAGCAACAACCTCCATGGTTGCACACTTCAATTCACCAAGCCAGTCAGGAACCTAGGGGTCTTGTTCGACCCTCAATTGTCTTTTCTTCCCCACATCCAAGCAATGACACGCTCTGCCTTCCCTCACCTCCGTAACATCACCCGACTCTGCCACTACCTCACCCTTCAGGCCGCTGAACCTCTTGTTCATGCCTTCATCACCTCCAGGCTCGGCTATGCAAATGTCCTACTTGTCGGCCTTACCAACTCCTCCCTCCACAGGCTGCAGATAATCCAGAACTCTGCAGCCCGTGTCCTCTCCCGCACCAAACTCCGTGACCCCATCTCACCCATTCTCGCCCGACTCCATTGGTTCCCTATCCTTCAGAGGATCCAGTTCAAAATCCTAGTCCTCACCTACAAAGCCCTCCATGGCCTCGCCCCACCCTACCTCTGCGACCTCCTAACCCTCTACCAACCCGCCCGCTCCCTCTGCTCAGCTGACTCCGGCCTGCTCCACGTCCCCCGACCCACCCGCCCCACCATTGGCGAGAGAGCCTTCAGCTACTCTGCCCCCAACCTCTGGAATTCCATCCCCCAATCACTCCCCCTCGCCCCCTCCTTAGCCTCCTTCAAGTCCCGCCTCAAAACCCTCCTCTTCGACCATGCCATCGGCCACCACCCTTCCCCTCCCCTCTCTTACCCCCACAACTCCAGCTCGGGTCTGAAATGCTGTACACTGTCCAGCGCCTTAGGACATCCTCCTGACGTGAAAGGCGCTATACAAATATAATCTTCTTGTTGTTTTAAAATTATTTTAGGCAGTTGACACATTACTGGAAGGTGACTGAGATTTGCAACAACCTTTTAGAAGCCAAACAATTGAATACACAAAGTGTATTCTTAATGCTATGCCCTTGTTACTGATGTGTTACTTTGGTTTCTTACCTCTAGGAATTCAAACATTTGGGAAAAACGTAGTTGTGGTTGGAAGGTCAAAAAATGTAGGAATGCCAATTGCAATCCTTTTGCACACTGATGGAAGACACGAAAGACCCGGAGGTAAGAGATAACTTAATGTTAATAAAGATTAAAATACATTCATAGATTGCTCCCATCAAAGCCCTAAATTTCTCATGCGCTTAGCCTTAAGGCTATTGCCTTAAATTTGAAGAATTTTAGAAAATGCTTAAATGCTGTCTTAATTTGGAAGACAGTTCAGAAGAGTGGCTTCCAAAAGTGTGGCACAATCTTAAGATTTAAGACAATGTTCCTAAGTCTAACATCATGAGCTTTGTAGGGCCTCTGATGATTGCAGGGAAATTTAACAAATTTTGGGCGTAATTGCAGGGAGTTAATTGGTGCTATTGAGAAACACATTTTACTGCCAAACTACATTTTTTCACTTTATTGATATAAACTAAACATGTAGAAATAACACATGATAGATTTTTGCATTTTTTTTAATTTGAACGCTTTCTTTAACAAAAACTGCTGGTGGGGGGAGACAGGCTCAAAGGTTGAATGGTCAATTTCCAACCAGCACTACATTTGAAAATCTGAAGATCCACGGAACAACAAAAACAACAAAATTACATTTATAGAGCGCCTTTCACGTCGGGAGGACGTCCCAAGGTGCTGGACAGTCAGGGGTCAGGACCTGAGCATGGGGGAGGGGTGGGGTAGGGGAACACCAGCTTTGCTCACCAAGCTCACTAGTGTCCTGACTGTGGGACTACAGAAGGTCAGCACCTCCTGTCTCTCGGGGCCATCACCATACACACACACAGAGAGAGACACACTCACAGACACACACATAGTTACAGAGGAGAGACACATAGACAATCTCAATAACGTGGGGTCGGGGTGAGTGAAGCACATTTCTGCCCGCGCAGCTGGCACCATCCCACTCCGCCCCACGCAAACAACCAGCAGCAGTGCGCAGTGTCCTGGAGCCAAGCAAACTGCATTTAAGCAGGTTTTCGTGAAGGGTGTTGTTTTTAGCTGATTCCGCTGAAAAATTGCAGCCGTACGTTTTTATTGGCCCAGGTTATCAGGAAAGAACTGTTTCAAAATCATCCCAACTTTTCAGTTCACATCCTACAGACAATGATTTTAGAGAGACTCTTTCTGAAGTGAGGGTAAAACTCTTATCAAGCAACAGATAGGTAGAGAGTCCCACCAGCTCCTATATTGCTTGCTTCTTACTAAGTAGCCAATTTGCACACTGCAGCGTCCCACAAACAGCAATAAAACCAATTTCATCTGGGAGATTGTTGGCCAGAATAATGGGAGAAACTTCCTTCTCTTTTTAATTAGTGCCACGGGATCTTTAAGGTCCACCTGAACAGGCTGACAGGTCCTCGGTTTAACATCTCATCTGAAGCATGGCACCTCTGACAATACAGCAGCCCCCCAGTAGTAGAATGGTTTGCCATCTTGGATTATGTTGATATTTAGGTGGGTATATCTAGGGCATGTTGATGACTTTGACATTATGGATTTGTCATGAAGCTTGGTATTATACTCACATTGGATTGCACTAACTCTACTGCCAAGCAGGACATCACATCCAAGAACTCTTCTTCTAACTCCAGAGTTTATTTTCTGATATTCTGCATTTGATATAATGCCTTATCACATCATTGAGACATCTCAAAACCCTTCACAAGATAGACTGTAAAGTGGTGTGACTGCGTTTATTTTGTGGGTGAAGTGGTTAATAATTATGCAAATCTTAGTTGTTAACCTCTCCCTTCTACTTGTCCTGGATTTGACCATGGTCTGGGAAACTGAAATCTCGCATGTTTGACACATCACAATTTCCTGTAGGTTCTTTGACTTGCCTGAACAGCTCTCTATTTGTTCAGATTGGCCTGGAAGCTTGGAAGCTGCTGGTTCCTTTTTTATTGTAACATCCATCAGCACTTTGCTTCACAGCTTTGAGTTGGAGTTTTTGGGGCTACTGGGAATCAAGGATTATCTGTACCTTTTCTCAACTGACCAAAGGCTTCAAAATATGTTCCATCGTATCAGCATAAAACCAGCAGTACATACTCGGAATGTAATTTTTTTTAGAATATCCTACACAGTTGCTACACCCTTCATGCTTTCTTGAAATTGGGGGTTTAGCACAGCCTACCGTGTAACTGAGATAACTGGTTAGTAGGCTCACATAACAGTACAACAACAACAACAAGGTTGCATTTATAGAGCGCCTTTCACGTCGGGAGGACGTCCCAAGGCGCTGTACAGAGTACAGAGGAAGCTCAATTATTATTAATTATTAAGGACAGCCATTGGTTTATCTCATCTACTCATCCAAAAGATTTAATCAAGGCATCTTCACCTAATAATCCTGAATCTTTAGGTTGAGGTTCAACGGTGATTTACAATGCTCCTGACTAGGCCACGTATTATTTTGTCCCAATGATTTAATTTAGAATATAAGGGCAGGAGTATATTGTTCATGAATATTTCGGTTAAAATTCTGGCACTATAAAGCTAAGATCTAACTGAGCCTACACTTAGTGAGACTATTGAAGCACTAATATATTTCACCATAAATCAACATGCCATTCAACTGGGAAATTGAAACATTACAAGATGAAACAATGATTTATAAAATGCATGACTAATGATAGAAAATTGACCATGTATAATCCATGTTAGCAGAGTTAGAATACATTAGTTTCAGGTAAGTGGTGCCGATTGGTTTTCTTGTCTATCTATCCAATATTCCAATAGATTCCTTCAAAACCTTTGAATTTCCAGGAATTTGACCATTTCCTCTTGAAGCCCTTTTTTACTGTTTGTCCCATCACCCATGCTGATAGTTTGTTCCGCATAACTTCCATCCTTTTATGAGAAAAAGCTCTTTTGCACTTTTTATTTACTATTTTTAATCCTTTATTTTGAAGCTATAACCACTTGTTGTGAATTTTGATTTGGAAGAAAAACTAATTTGCATTTAAATTTTCTAAACGTTTATAATTATAATTGATTCTATCAAATGACCCCATCCGGCTTTTTTTCAAGAAAGAATAGTCTAAGGAAAGCCTCATAGCTGTGAACCCTACTTTTTAAATAAAGGGAGAAAAACCAACAACATCCTTCACATGGAGTAGCGCATCAGAAAGCTTAACAGTGGTGTAGCTTGATGGCGAGCTCGGCTGACGTGACCATAGGCACAGTCGAAGAGGGAGGTCACGAAGGTGATCTGAAGATGGGAAAAGAGGTGCCAGGTTGAGGGATTGAGGCAGAGAGTTCCATAGTTTTGGGATCCAGTGACTGAAGGAGGTCCACCAATGGTAGAGAGGAAGAGATGAGGGACAGAGGCTAGAGCTAGCTAAGTGAACAACAACAACAATAAAATTACATTTGTATAGCACCTTTCACTTCGGGAGGACGTCGCAAGGCGCTGGACAGACAGAGTTTAACATAACATAACATGTAGGAGCAGGAGTAGGCCCTACGAGCCTGCCTCGCCACTCAATCATGGCTGATCTTCTAATCTAACTCCAGCTAATAACCTGACCCTGCCTTATCCCCATATCCCTTAATCCCTTTTGCAATAAGAAATCTATCCATCTCATTCTTGAATATGTTCAAGGACTGAGCGTCAACAGCCCTTTGGGGTGGTGAGTTCCATATTCACCACCCTTTGAGTGAAGAAGTTCTTCCTCATCTCAGTGTGAAAGGGCTGGCTTCTGATTTTAAGGTTGTGACCCCTGGTTTTAGTTTCTCCAACCAGGGGAAACAATCTCCCACTATCTACTCTATCATGCCCTTTGATGATCTTATAGGTTTCTATAAGATCCCCTCTAATTCTTCTATATTCTAGAGAATATAGGCACAAATTGGTCAGCCTATCCTCGTGACTCATCCCCTTCATCCCTGGTACTACTCTAGTAAATCTACGCTGCACCCCCTCCAAGGCAAGTACATCCTTCCTTTAATGAGGAGACCAAAACTGGACACAGCATTCCAGGTGTGGTCTCACCAGGGCCCTATACAGTTGCAGCAAGACTTCCCTACTCTTATACTCTAATCCTTTCATAATGAATGCTAACATACCGTTCGCCTTCCTAATTGCTGCTGCACCTACAGACTAACTTTCTGTGATTGGTGTACAAGGACACCCAAGTCCCTCTGGACGCTAACACATTCCAATCTCTTCCCTTCTAAAAAATAACCCGCTCTACTGTTTTTGCTACCTATAGGTGGATGACTTTGCACTTCCCTACATTATACTTCATCTGCCACCTACCTGCCCAATCACCTAACCTATCTATGTCTCGCTGCATTTTTTTTTAATGTCGCCCTCTGTGTTGACACTTCCTCCTTGTTTTGTGTCATCCGCGAATTTAGATATATTAACTTCAATGTCCTCATCTAGATCGTTGATGTAGATGGTAAATAGCTGAGGCCCAAGGACTGATCCTTTTGGCACTCCACTAGTCACATCCCGCCAATCTGAAAAGGACCCGTTTATCCCTACTCTTTGTTTCCTATCCGTTAACCATTCCCCAATCCATATTAATATGCTCCCCCCAATTCCATGGGTCCTTATCTTTTGGACTAACCTTTTATGCGGCACCTTATCGAATGCCTTCTGGAAGTCCAAATAGACCACATCGACTGATTCACCCTTATCTAGTTTACTGGAAATATCCTCAAAAAACTCTATGAGATTTGTCAAACATGACTTCCCTTTTGTAAAGTCATGTTGACTTGGCCTAATTATATTGTGCTCCCCTAATACCGCATTACCACATCTTTAATCAATAATTCTAAATTTTTTCCTATCACTGATGAGAGACTAACCGGCCTATAGTTCCCCATCTTTTCCTTTCCACCTTTTTTAAATAGTGGTGTGACATTTGCGATCTTCCAATCCATGGGGACTGTTCCAGAATCCAAGGAATTTTGGAAGATCAGACATAAGGCCTCCACTATCTCATAAGCTACCTCTTTTAAAACCCTGGGATGCAAGCCATCCGGACCAGGGGATTTGTCACTTTTTAGTGCTAACAGTTTCCCTAGCACCAATTCTCTACTAA